ATGAGCCTCCATGATGTGTGATCTGATGTGATCAACCTGTAAGAGGGTCAGGGATGGGCTGCAACCCCTTCATCCCATCACAACCCTGATCTACCGCCAGGGAGTTTCCCAGCAGTATGACTTGCAACATCTTTTATCTTACAAACATAAAAGGAGACAGAAGTGAGCCGAGAAAAGGGGACCTAATGTTACTGACCAAAGGAGCTCTGGTAGCATAGTGGTTACAAGTCGGGCTGCCAACCTCAAGGTCGGCAGTTCGAAACTACCAACTGTTCTGTGGGAGAAAGATGAGGCCTTCTGCCCCCATAAAGATTTACGGCCTCAGAAACCCTATGCAGGGTCACTATGAGTCGGAACCAACTCCACAGTACATCTATTTGAATGGTCCCACCCAATTATTTGGTGGGAGTTGAGACAACTCCTGGTGTGGCGCTGTAGGATCGGCACTGGACAACAAGCCACAATGTCAGTAATTCACACCCACCAACTGCTCCTCAGAAACCCTACACAGGGTCGACACGAGTCGGAATCGACTCGTTGGCACTTAACAACATTCTAATGAAATGTGCAAACACCTGGAGTTAGAAAACCAAAAGGGAAGAACATGCTCAACATTTTTCAAGTGGAAAAAACTAGAGAAAAAGTTCAAGCCTTGACTTGCAATACTGAATGAACCTAAGAGCAAATCAAGTCCTAGTGTGGTACTGTAGGATGCACTGGACTGCTAACCACCAGACTGGTGGGTCAAACCCACCAGCAGCTCCTTGGAAACCCTATACAGGGTCGCTAGGAGTCAGAACTGACTCCACAGCACTTACCAAGCACAAATGGGCAAAATACTGAATGATACAGAAAGCACCAAAAGATGCAAGTTCTACACAGTCATGTACCAAAAAGAAATGATCAATGTTCAACCATCTCAAGAAGTTGTTGTCAGGTGCCATCGAGTCAGAACCGACTCATAGCGACCCCATGCACAGCAGAACGAAACAATGCTCGATCCTGGGCCAACCTC